GGTTCTAGGCTTAGTAACAGATTGAGCCTCGCATCTAAAAGGGTATAGTCGAGTTGTTAGTTGTAGTTAACCGTTCTCCCGCGAATTTCTATATCTGCAGTAGGCTACTATAGATATAGAAACACCCCGCGCAATAGCCGCCTACCTCGGATAAAGGGTTTTGCAACGATATTACGAAACAACGGTATCTAGTAATAGATGTATAGGACTTACGCCCCGAGAGGAGCCGTCCGCCGGGTAAGCGGTCAAACTATTGCTTATAGCAAAGCTATAAGGGCGGCTATAAGGCTATAGTCGTTCTCGCGCGAATTTCTATATCCGTAGTAGGCTACTATAAATACGGAAAATCTAGTTCTAACTTAGTATAGCTATCGTCAATTGCTACGTAAGTATGTTATATAACGTATTGTGCTTGTCGGACTAACCCGTGCGAATTTCTATATCCGTAGCAGTATTTATAGAATATAGAAATTCGCGCGGGGCAGTCGGACAGATATAGATCGCTAGATTCGGGGTCTTAGCAGGACATTAAGGCCGCTAGTCTTCCTCTTATAAGACCTTACTTAGTAGATCGTCGAATAATATCACTATTAATACTATAACTACCCGCAGCTCCGCAGTATATACCGCCTAGCAACTACGTTCCTACCGAACTACAGCGATAGACATACCTTACCCGCTAGCGACGGTTATATCGGAGACTCGGAGTCGATAGAAACAATACGAATTACTCGACGCGATTGCTACGGCCCTCGAAGAACTATATAGATACCGGACTAGCTATCGTACACCGCGTATTTAGTACAAATAATACAACCCGAAGGTTTGTCGAGTACGTTAATATAGACAGCAATATAGACGCGCCTATATAGAGCGATACGTCCTATATATAGACAAGAGGTTCTATAACGTTACTACCGACAAAGGCATCTAGCTCGAGCTAGTTCAAGATGCTTATAAAGGGCTTACGCCCCGAGAGGAGCCGTCCGCCGGGTAAGCGGTTAAACTATTATATACATTGTCTACGAAACTGACTAGGGAATTTGAGTATAGGTCGCTATAGCATATATGCATCGCATAGCTAGCGGATAGCCGCGCTTCTCGAAATTGGTCGTATAACAAAGAGGCATCGGCTTCCTTCTAAACTCCGCCGGAAGCCTATAGTAGCGGCTGCCGATATAGCAGATAACTTCAACTTACTCTTATTACGGCATCGGTATAAGGATGTTATAAATTATAACTAAACAGAAGCAAAAGGATATAGCATCGGTACGAGGATATCATAAATTACAACTAGAAGCAAAAGGATATAGCCTAGGTACGAGGATGTTATAAATTACAACCAAACAGGAGCAAAGGGATATAGCCTCGGTACGAGGATACTATAAATTACAAACAGAAGCAAAAGGATATAGCCTCGGTATAAGGATATTATAAATTACAATTAAGTAGAAGCAAAAGGATATAGCCTCGGTATAGGCAAAAGGATATAGCCTCGGTACGAGGATGTTATAAATTACAACTAAGCAGAAGTAAAAGGATATAGCCTCGGTATAGGCAAAAGGATATAGCCTAGGTACGAGGATGTTATAAATTACAAACAGAAGCAAAAGCAGAAGGACACGGTATCGGTATAGGCAAAAGGATATAGCCTAGGTACGAGGATATTATAGATTATAAATAGAAGCAAAAGCAGAAGGATACGGTATCGGTATAGGCAAAAGGATATAGCCTCGGTACGAGGATATTATAAATTACAAGCAGAAGCAAAAGCAGAAGGATACGGCCTAGGTGCGAGGATGTTATAAATTACAAGCAGAAGCAAAAGTAGAAGGACACGGCATCGGTATAAGGATGTTATAAATTATAAGCAGAAGTAAAAGCAGAAGGACACGGTATCGGTATAAGGATGTTATAAATTACAAGTAGAAGCAAAAGTAGAAGGACACGGCATCGGTATAAGGATATTATAAATTATAGGCAGAAGCAAAAGCAGAAGGACACGGCATCGGTATAAGAATATTATAAATTACAGGCAGAAGCAAAAGCAGAAGGACACGGCATCGGTATAAGGATGTTATAAATTACAAGCAGAAGCAAAAGCAGGAGGACACGGCATCGGTATAAGGCACGGCATCGGTGTAAGGATGTTATAAATTACAAGCAGAAGCAAAAGTAGGAGGACACGGCATCGGTATAAGGTACGGCATCGGTATAAGGATGTTATAAATTATAAGCAGAAGCAGAAGGACGCGGCATCGGTGTAAGACGCGGCATCGGTATAAGACACGGCATCGGTATAAGATACGGCATAAATTCTAAATAGAAGTAAAAGGATATAGAAGGTTAGGTAGATTTACAGGTTAATCCGGTAATAGGGCAGAAGCAGGAGACCAACTTACCTTGCCTTATAGTAACAAGACAAAAGCAGAAGACTTACTAACCTTACTTGCCTTAGAACAAGAGACTTATATAGCCTTTATAGTAAGGGCAAAATACTCACCTTGCCTTAGGAGTAAAAGGCAAAAGACTCACCCCCTACCGCCTAGAAGTCTAAGTTTTATAGGAGGCTATAGAAACTCGATCGTAGCTAGAGGCTAGGCTTATACTGTTCTCGATTTTCTAGTAAGGGGTAAATTCACTTTAACGCGGTACTTTAGCCGAAGTAGGGTTACCTTAGTCTAACAATGTTAGACCTCCTAATCTAATATAGGTGTCTCGGAATAGAGCTCTTACGACGCTGTGCCCGAGGGCTTTAGAACTAATGTTTAAGGAAGCGCGACACCCCCTAGGGTTCTAGGCCGAAGCCCGAGGTTTTACGTAGTATTTGAATCCTCTAGGCAAAGGATATTTACTAATAACTAAGCAGAGGAGGGACTACACTCCCAACCTTACCTACTAGTGTAGTAGTAGGCTCGCGTCGCTATTAGATGCTAACTATCAATTCTTATATGTATATATGCCTTTATAGTTGTCGCTCGCGTAGTAGCTTAATAGTATAGATTGTAGACGAGGTAAACTTTCTACGATATAATAGTCGTAGGTTCAATCTACGATATCGTCCCTAATTATTCACTATTCCCGGTATTATAGACATAGTAACTCGGCAAGTGTCCCGCTAGAGGAGTAAATACAGAACGGTATATACTAACTGCTTAATAAGTCGACGTCTAAGGAGTTTCTAGAGTTCCGGATCTCGCAAACTATCCGAGCCTAAGCCTCGAGAAGATAACTAATTTCCGTATCCGCTAGCCGACCTATTGAATATAGAAACTCGCAACCTCGAAGCTAAACTTAGAGGCTAGTTTCAATTTCCGTATCCGCTAGCCGATATATTAAATATAGAAATTCGCAACCTCGAGGCTAATTCGGAGCCTCGAGGCCAAACCTAGAGGCTAGTTTCAATTTCCGTATCCGCTAGCCGACCTAGTCGATATAGAAATTCGCAACCTCGAGGCTAAACCTCGAGGCTAAACCTCGAGGCTAGCTTTAATTTCTATATCGACTAGTTATTCTACCGAATACAGAAATTCGTAACCTCGAGGGTAATTCGGAACCTAAAGACTAATTCTAACTCGAATTTCTGTATCCGCTAGTCCCTATACTAGATACAGAAATGCGGAATCTCGAGGCTAATACGGAACCTCGACCTCGCGACGGGCCCGACCGAATATCTAGTAGGTAGCGGCAATTTCTGCCTTCGCTCGTCTATCTATTAAATACGGAAAATAGCGACATCGCTAAACAATATAGGAATAGAATAAACGTACTATACTACAACGACGAGACAAGGGCCGGAGCGGGCAAGGCGTAGAGATCTCTTCTAGATCTATATAAACTACATTAAATGTAGTTTTTAGTTCAAAAATGCGGAAAAGTAGAGCTAGTAGAAACACGTAGACTACTAGAGCGAGAAACTAGCTACACCGCTAGCACTAAGACTAAGAACCCTAGTAGAAACGAAACAATAGCCTAGTAGCCCTCGTTCTTCTTCTTCTTCGTATCGAGACGGCTATTTATAATCGGTTAGTCTTACTCTTAGCATACTTAGTACAGTTAGCGATAGATATATATAACTTCTTACTAGATCGAAGACGACCTAGCGGCGTCGCCGTAGCGGCGACCTCTATAGTGCCCTAGGCGGGCGGGAAGTTAGCGGCGCGCGCGGCGCGTAGTATAGAGGTTGCTATACCGATCTTAATTAGCCGCTACGACTACTAGCGAGCAATAGACTTCGTACTAGAGCGCATTGTTGCTTCCTATACCGTTAACGTAGTTCTTGTATTTAAGGTAGTATTATAGATAAGGGTAAGAGGGTATATAGTCGAGAGGGCGTAAGAAGATGTATACTACTACCCGATATAATATTCGATTCTATCGAAGTTGCTATTGTATTGTTAAAGCTTACCGTACGTAATGTTTAGTGTTATATAATAGTATATACCTTAGCTAAATAGAAGGACTTTACTTAGCTTTACTTCACTTAGAATTTTACTAGATAGGGGTATAGGACTTTACTTTCCTAGGCGTTTTGCTAAGGTAGTATTTTAGTATTGTATGCGCTATCTTATATAATACAGAAATCCTGCTTTGCTTTTTAGGTATAGTAGTCGCGATATCCTACGCGGCGAGGGTGCGCGACCTACCTTATTGTTTAAGGCGACAACGATAGGGTACAGAAATAGAGGGTATACCGTACGAACCTTGAGCCTTTACAACTATACTATAGATACAATGATTTCTATATTTGCCCGCGTGCCCTATAGATGCGAAAAATCGTAGATAGAGTAGGAGGTGCTAATGTTTCCTATTTCAGTAATTTCCATGTCAATGGATTCCTATATATGTAATTAATGTACCAATGTATGTGCCAATGTTATAAAACTGTACCATTTTAGAAATCCCAGGCAATGTTGCCAATGTTGTCCCATCTCAGTAATTACCATGCCAATGAGTCCCATTTGAGCATTTACCCGGTTTTGAAATTGAGAACGGTACGCCGCGACTTCACCTCTTCTTCACATCTACCTGCTAGTAGGAAAAACGCCGGCACCTCACCGAGATTCTGACGGCTAGGCTAGCGGCGACTGGACACGAAACGATAAATGACACTATGAAGATCTGCGATCCGGCGATTCGGACGGAAAAACATCCTATCATGCCGGCTGGTATAGTCGCCATCGCTACTCTAGGCGATCAGGCGGCGCGAGAAAGCAACATGTCATGCGGATTGGCTTCAGATGCCGACATTGCGCGCACAGTGTCTACAGGAGTACCTTTGGCTTCCACATACTGGTGATCTGTGCACCGGCGCAGTCGACCTCCAACCAATTTGGACTTGTACATCATCGGTATGGCTTGTTCAAAACTAGACGAGCGAATAGACCAGCTTCCGTCCTTCGGTCTTGCCCTTTCGCAGCATGTCGATGCCTTCAGGGATCGCTCCTAGACCGCCGCTTCGCAGGTCTATCGGGTGCGTCGCCAGCAAGCCTGCATCGAGCACTTTCTGGGCCACAGGCTGCCACTTTTCTGCAAACATCTTATGTTTTGGCCTGGCCGCTTTTGCATATGGTCTCTTCCATCGTATAGCTTGTCCGAATACTGTCCATGCGAGGATCCATTCCGGAAGCACATCGCGCCTAGGATCCATTCCGGAAGCACATCGCGCCTGGTATGCGACCGAATGGGGAATTGGTCAAGTCCCACGTACCGTCCGCCCTGCTCACCCAGAGCTTCGTAACATATGCTCATGCTCGCGCTGTCCGTAATGCAGTCGAGAGCCTTGGTGAGACTGCCATTGGTGAACTTCCGAACGTCTTCTCCGACTGTCACTGAGTGGTAGTCAAAGCATGCCGCTGCGCCTAGCAACTTGAGTCTCTCAAAGTGGCGAGGTGAGCAAGCACAGACCACTTGCATTCCGGAGCTGCAAGACTATCAGCAGATGCATCAACCGCCCTTTCAGACCATGGCTTACAGTGCTGCACTCTGGATTGCCAAAGTAGCTGTGGCCGTTCCTCCCCCATATATGAACACATAAGGTCCTAGACACTCGGATTGCTTTGGTGCAAGCGGAAGTGGCACCTGCAACATGTAGTGCAATGCAAGACCAACGGTCATCAACGAGAGTCCTAGTGTCGCTGCTTGGCTGAAAGGCATTCCTTCCGGCATGCGCCATACCATGAGTTGGTGGATGGCGGCGAATTGAGCGAAACCGCCATTCTCTAAGCCGTCCGAGAAATTGCCTTTCACCGGGCCAAGAACTCTGTCGCCCACTCGAAGATCATCGCGACATCTGCTCCCAATTGCAACGATTTCGCCAGAAACATCGCATCCATGAGTGCTTCCTGCAGCTGGTGAAAGGTCCAGGGACTTCCTGTATCAGAAGAAAAGGCTTAGCTTGGGCTTCGAGTCGATGCTTCTTTCAAAATCGATGGAAGACACGATACCAATCGAAAGGGTTAAGTGCTACGCAATGCACTCGTACAAGAACGTCCTCCTCTCCAACTGGTGGTAGAGGTATGTTCTTTTCCAGTCGGATCACTCCAGCCCCAATCACTTTGATCGCTTGCTGTGCTTGAGGAAGGAGGGAAGGTGGATCAACAGCCATGATTGCAACAGTGCAGGTTTAGATCGGTGCGATTTCGTGTACCCAAAGTGGTTTTGCAGCGGCAAGCTGTATGCGATATTGCAAGCAGACACCTGGAGGACCGCCATCATGCTTTGACGTAAGTTGCCTAGTACTTACTGCTTATCGGACAAGATACCAGCCGGTGAAGAACCGCCACCCGGTTCGCAAGCTGCCCTACACAGTTCCGACGAGAAGGCCGAGCCATGTGGAGATGGAGCCCATACTGCTTATGACAGTTGAGTGTTGCTGTTTCACACAAGCTAAAGCTTGATAGAGGCCGCCCACCAAAACTGCACTAATGTATGCAGGCCGATGCCGTAGCTGGATCTCTTTCTACCCCAACAGTTGCCATACTGGATTTGGTTTGGACACCTACCGCACTGACCACGTGCGGAGACAAGGCACTTAGCTTGCGCTTGACTTCGGGATGGGCTATCACAAGGCTGCGGGATGGAAACGTTTCTATGACTACAACTTTGCTTCGAAGAGGGGGTCGTTCTCGTTGAGCATTATACTGCCATCTCTGCGGATCTTGCTCAGGTGTCGATTTCCTCCACAGCACTGCCATGGAGTTGTTCTTGCTGGGAGCCATTGCTGCCTTTCTAGGCCTTTTGTACAAAGTGTTACAGGTACGAATGCTTTACTTGGATGTCGACATGACGACAACATCTGTACATTCTGACAAGTGAGTCGTAAGATTGTTATACACGCCCGGAACGCACTTCCCCATATCCCTGGACCTTGGTATACAAGATACACCTCACTTGTATTCTACATCAACGGCTTCATACCGCGGGTTCCCGTATGGGTTGACAATTTGCACCGCCAATATGGACCCGTCGTGAGAATCACACCCAACATGGTGGCAATCGCAGACCCTGACGGAGTGGCCGACATCTTTCGCTCCAGTCGTGGATATTTAAAAGGTCCCATCTATGATTCTTTCCTGCGTAGCTTCTTCGCAGAGAGAAATCCCGCTTTGCATGGCCAGCGCCGTCGACTTTTTGCTCGTCCACTAGCAAATTCGTCGCTTCAAGCGTCCTGGGCGCCTGAGATTCGCCAACGAGTTGCTTTGGCTGTGAAGCGGATCAAGGATGATGCGCTGGCCACAGGAGAAGGTGATGCGTATAAGTGGTGGAACATCATGACGAATGATGTGATTACGAGGATCTCATTCGGAGAGTCTCTCAATCTTCTGGAGTCCGACGAGGTACCTGAACTCCCTCGTCTTGCTGCCATCTTGAGAGAGACGCATTCTGACAGTTCGTTTTCTCTCATAGCATTTGCCATATATCGAAGCCGTGAAGAAGACCATCAGATGCGTGTCGCTCCATCGAAATTTCCCCAGGATCATGCCACTCGCGAAGTATCTGCCGATCCGTCGATTGCAAGAAATTCTCAATGCAAGACCCAAGGCGGAGAAATATACAGTCAAAGCAGTGCAGAACTTTCGAGCACGTATCGACAAGGACCAGGACAAGACGGCTGGCACGGCTCGTAACATTTTCACGCAAATCGTAGTTCAGGCCGATGATCAGGACGCTGAGGCTGTTTTGGCGATCACTGATGAAGATGTGCACGAGGAAGCTCTTACCTTGATGCTCGGCGGTACTGACAGTACCTCGTCCACTTTGACATATTGCACCTGGGCTGTTCTCCGTCACCCCGAGATACGCGAGGAGCTGGAGAAAGAAGTTGCCGCTTTGTCCGACGAGCTTTCGTCCAAGGAACTTGAGCAGGCTCGACTTCTGAACGCCGTCATTCATGAGACCATGCGTTTGTACGGCGCTGTCTCGATCGGTCTCCAACGTGTCGTGCCAGCGAGTGGTGCTCAAATCGCGGGCTTCGACCTTGCGCCAGGAACATTGGTCTGGCCGCAGATGTATGTCCGAACAATTATCGTTCAGGCCCCGCGTGCTCGAGCAGTGTAAGCTAACTTTGACAGGTATACGACGCGCTACGATCCCTCGATCTGGCCGGACCCGCTCAAATTCGATCCAAGTCGTTTCTTTGATGTCAAGCTGCCCTCCATGGCCGAAGGGAATCTGACAGCCACACAAAAGAAAGTCTATGTGCCGTTCGGGGGCGGCACGCGAATGTGCCTTGGAATAAATCTGGCATACCTCGAACTGCGTCTGGGTCTTGCCTTGTTCTTCAGAGAATGTAAAGGAGCACGGTTGTCGAAGAGCATGACTGCTGAAGAGATGGTGCACGACAATTTCTTTGTCAGCTCTCCCAAGGGACGACGATGTATGATTACCCTTGGATAGCTGGAGCTTTAATCTTCATCTATCACGGCCACCCATTTGTGGTGGTCTTCCTTGCCGTTCATGATGCCTACCAACCAGTCCTTGAGTATTTGGGAGCATAAAATTCCCTTCACGGGCTCACAGTTGATCTCGATATCTCGTCCCTCGTGTCGAATTGCAGCAACGGGCGTGACGGAGACCGCAGTACCGACGGCAAAAGCCTCGATGATATGCGACTCGGACAGTTGTGTCATCGTCAACTTCCGTTCAGCAATCTCTATACGTTCTACAGCTCCTGCAACGGCATCCTGCAATCTCTCACGTGCTAGCTCCAGAATACTCGCGCGCGTGACACCAGGCAGAATCAATCCACTACCACCATCGTCCACTAGAGGTGGAGTCACGAGCTCCCACGTCTTCTCGTCCAGCCTAAGAACACAGAAGAAGTTGCTAGCCCCCGCCTCCGTAACCAGTCTGTTAGGTCCGAATAGCCAGAGAATCTGATCGCATCCATGCAACTTTGCCTCATCATGCAATGGCAGTCCAGGTCCGTAGTTAGCACCGATCTTGCAATTCCCGAAACCTCCAGGCCACGCGCGAATTTGGTCATTTGAAGAAGTCAGCAACTTCACGACTCTACGTGGGGGGTTGGGGATAGTAGCTCTTGGAAAGACTGCCAAGATGATGAATAGCATCGCCGAACGAGGTCGTATCGTGGCCAGAGCAGCATCCGTTCCGATCAGTGTTGGTCGAATGTACAACGCAGATTCTCCTCCCTCCTTCGGCAGCCATTTCGGGGCTTCATGTGCGCAGAGGGCGATGATCAGCTTCTCTAGCTCTGCGGCCTCGAAATCTGGCAGTGCTACTCGGGCTGCTGAGCGTCGCATTCGCTCGCAGTTTTCGCGAGGCCGGAACAGTCGCAGACGGCCGTCCTGGCCACGATGCACCTTCATGCCCTCGAAACATTCCGTAGCGTAGTGCAGAGCTGAAGCAGATGGCGGAATGGGAATCGGGCCGTATGGTTTTAGAGTTGGAGCTGACCAGCCCGTACGTAGATTCCAAGGCACGAGTATCATGTGGTCGGTGTGATACTCCAACAGCCTGACCTCGGGAGAACTTGGCGATGAAGGCAGAGGCCTTGGAGTGGTGGTCCATTCTGTGCTCAGAAGACTGGAATCGAGTCTTGATGCAATCGCATCCTCAACCATGATGTATGTCTGTGGAGTCGTCTTCTGATTTCTGCAGCTTGGCAAGGAGCTTTCAGGCAAATTTGCTGTCTCGAGTCGTCCAGTCGTCAAGTCGTCCCTCAGGAAAAGCTGAACTGTGAAGGAGCTCTCTCTCGCTCTCTTCCCCCTTCCCCCTTCCCCTCCGCCCGCGCATTTGGACGAAGTCCGAAATCCTATTACCAAACGACGATAGTCATGGGGGGATCGGTAAAGATCTCCCAAGCGTAGATATGGACCAAGCTAGTGGAGGCCGCCCGCCATGATGACGCCGCCTCGCCTTAGGCACAGAGAAGCTCTGCAGGGACAGTCGGAAGGTCGAGCAAAGGTCTGGAGTCCGGGGCCCCGGGCAGCAGCCTTGCAGGGGCACGGCCATGTCCAGCCTTGCACGTGCCCAGCACTAATTTGTACGCAGGATCAACGAGGCAGGCCGCACTGCTCGAAGGGGTGTTGGGGTCGTCCTATTTTTCCCGGTATCGCGTGATGTCTCAGTTGATAATGCATTCGTTCGGTCGCTATACAGTGGCCGTCGCAGAACCAGTAGTCGGTAGTGGTGTGCAGGGTGCTGGGCCCTGGTGAAGTTTCGTTCGGCACTTCTCGCGCCGAGGCGCCAATGTCGTGTGGCCTGTGCGCCTAGTTTGTGCTGAGTGAGGCCTTTACCAGACTTCACCTTATCAATGCTTAGTAGAGCCACACAGTATATCCACCGAAGATGCATCACTGTTTAACCGCTCAACAGGTTACAGTAGACTGTCGAGTGAGTCGGCTACGATGCATCATGCATGCCCTCGTCCGCAAGTTCAACTCAGCAGACCCGGAAAGGGAACGAACATAGACCCGCGAGTTCGTATTCTGACGCACGACGATTCACCTTGCAATGTATAGCGTGTCTACGTTGGTGAAGCAGTCCAGCGTGCCTCGATGGACGAAGCATAGTCTTAGCATAATGGCTACAACCATTCTCTCGCGCGTGAAGCAAGTCGCGCAGTGGCATGGTAGAGCCAAAGCAGATGTCTCGCGGGAGGTCGAGAAAGGATACAGCAACACCAACTCGTTCGCGCACTTGTCCGAACATGAAGCTACGACTCTGAGAAAGCAAATCGAGAGTCCTGCTGCAGCACCAGTTATATGGAAGTCACTCTTCCGCTTTGCCTCCCGCCAAGACATTCTCATCATTGCTGTCAGCTCCCTGTGTGCTATTGCTGCAGGAACTGCAGTGCCGCTGAATACTGTAATACTGGGTTCGCTAGCGGGATCCTTCCAAGACTTCAGCAACGGACTACCCAGAACCGAGTTTGACGAGCAGGTGAAGAGTCGGACACTGTATTTTGTGTATCTAACTATAGGCGAATGTCAGTATATGAAACCCAGACGAAAGCTGATGCACATACGCGAGCCCATGCTGAAATGTCGCTGCAGTCGTCACAATTTATTTTGCTACGCTTGGCTTCAGACATACCGGGGAGAGCATCACTCGCAAGATCAGAGAAGAATACCTCAAAGCCGTGCTACGTCAGAATGGAGCATATTTCGACAAACTTGGCTCAGGCGAGGTCGTTACACGCATCACGGCCGATACAAATGTCATTCAAGAGGGCATGTCCGAGAAGATTGAGCTTGCCCTCTCTGCCCTTTCCTGTTTCGTGTCGGCGTACATTGTTGCTTTCATCAAGTACTGGAAGCTCACGTTGGTTATGACTTCCATGACACCGGTTCTGTTCGCATCCATGTACGGATTTACGCAATTGATCGTCAAGTACACCAAGCTGTCATTAGCTGCACATGGCCAGGGTGTAGTCGTTGTGGAAGAGGCTCTCAGCTCCATACGCACTGTCACCAGCTTTGGGACGCAAGCGGCTCTTGTCAAGAGATACGATTCATTATTGGGTCGAGCAGAAGTGTTTGGGCTGCGCGCGAAATCTATTATGGGAGGCGCTGTTGGTTTCACGATATGCATATTCAATCTTGGTCATGCTCTGGCTTCCTGGCTCGGAAGCAAGTACATTGTTTCAGGGGAATCAGATCTTTCAGCCGTGGTGACCATTCTGCTTGTCATGATGCTGGGAGCCTTCGCTTTGGGGAAAGCAGCCCAACACATTCAAGCATTTACGAATGCTGTAGCTGCAGCCACTGGAATCTACGCAGTGATTGATCGCATCACGCCGTGGAATGAAGATTCCGAACAAGGTCTCGCACCGGAGCATGTGGAAGGCCGTATTGAATTTCGAAACGTAAGTCTGTATATCCATCACATTATCTATACTTGAAATAAGCACTCACAACGAACGGTAGGTGAAACACATCTATCCTTCTCGACCAGATGTGGTAGTCCTCCAAGATTTCAACCTTGTTGTTCCAGCCGGAAGCACGATAGCAATCACTGGAGCGTCGGGCTCGGGAAAAAGCACCTTGATCGCTTTGATGGGGCGTTTCTACTTTCCTGTAGCCGGCGAAGTGCTTCTTGACGGCAGAAATATTCAAAGCCTAAATCTTCAATGGCTACGTCAACAGATTGGACTCGTCTCACAAGACCCGTCACTCTTCACAGGTACCGTGGAGGCGAACATCTTGCATGGACTCAAAGAATCGACAACTGCTGATCCCAACCTCCGAGCACTCGTCGAGAAAGCCGCGAGGCTTGCCAATGCACACGAGTTCATCATGCAACTCCCCCAAGGCTACGATACGTACATTGGCGAGCGCGGGTCCTTTCTCAGTGGCGGCCAGAGACAGCGAATCGCTATCGCCAGAGCGGTATTAAGAGATCCAAAGATTCTACTTTTTGACGAGGCAACCAGTGCACTGGACAGTAAGACCGAGGAAGTAGTAAGTCTGAGCTCTTATGTTATGTTGACCATTACGGGACTGAGTCAACACTGTTTGGTCAATAGGTACAAGCCGCGCTGGAGAAAGCAGCTCATGGTCGCACAACGATCATGATCGCCCATCGTTTGAGTACGATCAAGAGAGCCGACAACATCATCGTTATGGGACCTGGTGGTAAGATCTTGGAGCAAGGCACATACGATGCGCTGTTGGCATTGAAGGGGACGTTGTGCCATCTCATCGAAGCTCAACACATCGCTCGGGATTTCAATGAGACAGCCGACCAGCAACACATCTTCGATGAAAAGGCCACTCCAGAATCTTCGATCGTGCAAGAAATTATGGCGGAGAAGTCACCTGCGCCGCAGAACGTTAGCACAAGAGGCAGTCGAGAACAGAACCCTGTGGCTGCTGACAAAGTTGAAGTGACGCATGCACCACCCTCACGTCCTCAGGAGTCTCGTCCCGAGATATCGCTCTGGTCGTTGATCAAATTCCTTACTTCCCTGAATCGACCAGAATGGAAGTCTATGCTGATTGGCATTATCGCGTCCATCCTTGCCGGAGCAGGAGAACCAATTCAGTGCCTCATCTTAGCAAAAACACTCGCGACTCTTTCGCTTGATGGAACTCAGCACCATCAGATACGCTCCCGGATGCAACTTTGGAGTAGCATGTTTGTCATGATCGCTGTCGTAATGCTGGCCTGCTTCTTCGTGCTCGGAATTTCACTTGCACATGGCAGCGAACGTTTGATTCGTCGTTGTCGAGAACTTGCTTTCAGGTCTATACTCAGACAAGATATTCAGTTCTTCGATCAACCTGAGAACACGATTGGAGCTTTGACGTCTTTTATTGGCATCCAGACAACAAATCTGGCAGGTAAGTTGAGATCACCCCAATGTACGCCGGAAGCAATTGCTTACAGAACGTGATGATCTAGGTATCACTGGCCTTGCTCTATCGACGATTTTCCAACTCCTGGCGACCTTGATTATCGGATACATCATTGCTCTCGCGGTCGGTTGGAAGCTCGCGCTCGTGTGCATAGCCACAGTGCCCGTGCTCCTCTTCGCAGGATTCGTCGGCGTTTGGAGCCAGTCAGAATTCGAGATGTACTTGAAAGATGCATATCGAGAAAGTGCTTCGCATGCCTGTGAAGCCGTATCTGCTGCCCGCACCGTTGCGGCATTCACACTCGAGGACCATATCTGCAGAAGATACCACGATCTCCTTGCTGCACAAGAGCACAGAAGTTTGCGCTTCAATCTCAAGTCGAGCATCTATTACGCAGCAGGTCAGAGTCTGGGCTTCCTATGCGTTGCGCTCTGTTTCTGGTATGGCAGTACTTTACTCGGTGATGGGGGCTACTCTCTTACACAATTCTATCTGGTCTTCTTCACCGTCATATACGGAACAAGATCGGCCGCCAATATGTTCGCACTTGCCCCAAATATGGCCAAGGCCAAAGTTGCGGCGGCTGAACTCAAGGCATTCTTCGAACGAACACCGGCTATTGACGTGTGGGCTAAGACTGGAAACATTCTGCCACATCTCGAAGGATCGGTCGAGTTTCGAAATGTCTACTTCGCCTATCAGGAAGCCGAAGGGCAGGGGATGATGGTACTTAACGATCTCAGCTTCACGGTACTGCCCGGTCAATTCGTCGCTCTGGTCGGTGCTTCCGGCTGTGGCAAGTCTACAGCCATCGCGCTTTTGGAACGCTTCTATGATCCATCGAGCGGAGGTATATATGTCGATGGTGAAGACATCTCGACATTGAACCTAGAAGCCTATCGAAAACATTTAGCATTGGTCTCGCAGGAGCCAACGCTGTTTCAAGGCACAATTCGCGACAATATCGTCTTCTCAGTTGACGAAGACGACATCTCCGAAGACAAAATCCTCAAAGCGTGCAAAGAGGCAAATATTCACGACTTCATCACTTCTCTGCCCGCAGGCTTTGACACACTCGTTGGTAGTAAAGGTGTGATGCTTTCGGGAGGGCAGAAGCAGAGGATCGCGATTGCACGAGCTTTGTTGCGAGATCCTAAAATTCTGCTTCTTGATGAGGCGACATCTGCGTTGGACAGCGAATCCGAGAGATTCGTGCAAGCGGCTCTGGATTCTGCTTCCCAAGGGCGTACGACGATTGCGGTGGCGCATCGACTTTCTACTGTGCGTAATGCTGATGCTATATATGTTCTGGATGGTGGTAAGATTGTGGAGAGCGGTACTCATGCTGCGTTGATGGCGCGGCGTGGAAGGTATTTCGAGTTGGCTCGATTACAGAGTTTGGAGAAACAGAATAAGGGGCAAGTCGTGGGGACAGTGCAGATGGGACAGTGATGCCACCAGGTCGGTGTGTCGCTCCAAGCTTTCAGACTTTCCTCCATGGATCTGGTTCTAATACTGTATGCATGGAGTCGCTTTTCTACAATGTGTTCCGCTTCAGCGTTGAAGGCTAGAAGATGCTCGAACGATTTGGAGCAGTAGTCGGGGGTGTTGGCATAGCCGGACTCGACGTAGTCGTCGAAGACCTTCCAAAGCTTGGTCACCCAGTGATGTGCGAAAATCGCAACGGTTGGAGCCTGCCATGTTGTCAGTCTTGATCTCTAGTTTGGTAGAAAGCGCAACGTACTGGACCGAACTTCTTTGGCTGCATGATGGCTTCTTAGCAGGATTTTGGGATTCGAGTCTCGCAGTATCTTTGGACAGCCCATCCCTTTCGCTGACTGCAATGCTGGAGATCGACGAACTAGTAATCGGCCGCCGAATGCAAGAGCTAGAAACGGCGGCGTGGCATAGCGAACACTAGGCAAATCAGTTGGTCAGAACTATGCAAATAAATTAGCTAGAGCGGCTCAGATGGGATAGTCAAACGACAGCCAGAACCGTGCAGGTCCCTTAGCGAAGACAGTGTAGCTTGAACAGCGAAAGCCGCGCACCAGCAATTGTGATTGTTGAGCAGTCTCGACAGCGGACATGGCCCAGTCTGAGTAGCAGCCACTGTGCAGCCATCATTGCCATAGCCGTAGACGGGAGGTGCGAAATTCTGCGGCGGCATGCAGAGTTTTCACCGCCAAGACGGTTTGGCCAGCGAGACGCGAGCGCAGCTACTGGCGGACGGTGGTGTTGGTAGTGTGTGTTCCATCTCTTCTCCAGCACTCGACGGTGGTGTTGGTGGTGTTGGTGGTGTGTGTTCCATCTCTTCTCCAGTACTCAGTCGCGACTGAGGCATGATGAAAAAATGATTCGCGTCACCTCGAGGTAGTGCGATACGAGCGACACGGTGGTCTGCGACATAGGCAAGCCCAGCGGTCACAGGCCCGAGGCCAAAAATAAGTATAATCATTGAAGTGGCCGTAGCCACGTTTCAGAGATTAAACTGAAAAGAACAGATACTACACTTGATCTAAGCCAAAAGGCCTGCGAAGATAGTCAGTAAAATGTTGTTGATGGTTGGAGGGTAGGGGTGGGTGTTGACATACAAAGAGAGCTGAAGAAGAAGAGAAAAGAAGAGGAAGGGAAGACGAAGGAAGAAAGACTCCCACACTCGCTGGAGAAGCTTGGGCCACAGCGGCGCGGTCCGTCAGTGACCGCCGTGCTGGAAAATATGTGCGGTATGCAAGATGCGGAGTGAAGTCAACCAAAATTTGAAGTGAGGGGCAAGTGAGCTGTCCAATTGCTGAAGCAAGTCGCCCATTCTCCTTCGAGAGCAAGGATCAATCCCATGCTCCTCTGCTCACTTGCGTAGACGCAGCGATGCCTTGAATAGAACCAGCGACGATACTAGAGACACGCCCTTCCTTAAGTCTGTTGATGCAATCTGTTGTCAGAATCGCGCTCTCCAGGTCGTGCAAGACAAGTTTGGTAGCCCGCATGAAGACCTGCGAAGGCTTCTCGATAGATGGTGTCAGAGATTTCCGGACACCGCGGACGACGGGGCAAGGTCGCTGTGCTTGTAGCGCTCGTTGTATTCTTGAGCTTCAGGAGGATTGACAGTCTCGTGCTGGCTCGCTGCTAAGCACAGAAGCTGCAGGCAATATTCAGATGGCGTGAACCAGCATGTCGCACTGGCTTCCATGAACCAAACACATACATCGTCGCCGATTGCGAACTGGCCGAGTTTGCAGAGGCTCTGTCTGGACTCATTGCTCGGCAAGAATTTCGCTTCAGTGTGCTTCCAATGCCTGATAGGCGCTGTACATGGCGGACAACACTTGAACGAGGATTCTGCGGGCGAAGAGAACCCCCCGGTAGAGCACGGCAGAATCGTGCCGTCATGAGCATCAAATCGCGAAATCGCTTCATTTTGTCACATCGCCCTCTCCCACAGCAGCCGCAACGGCACTCTGATGCACAGGTGTTGACTCGGGCTGGTTCCCGGTGCCTTCTGCCTTCGCCTTCTCTTCTTCTGCGAATAGCTCTTTCCAGTGGTTCTCATCAAAGCCATCCATGTATTGAATGAACTGTGGACCACCCTTTACCCAGCCTTTCACACCGCCTTCAAGTACCATGACATTCATATCATTATCTCCAGCAGTTTCGCGCACGTGTTGCAGGAACCATGAGGCACATCTTGGGCCTCTGCCATTGGAAGAGCCACATGTGAAGACCACCCATTCCATGCCCGCCTTATATGCCAGCTCGTACAGCATGCCTCTATTCCACCAGAAGCCTTGGGCTGGGATGTTTAAAGAGCCTCTGATGGCGCCGCCTTCATAGTCCGTACGCCGGACATCTACGATCAGCATGCTTGCGATCTTCATGGCATTGATCATTAGTGCGCGCTGCTTGGGCATGACAGGCAGTTTTTCGCCGGAGAACTCTGGCTTCGGCGGCGGAAAGGCGGTGTGCCATGGCTGCGAGTCGGCCATGATATCGAGATGAGAAGATGGGAGAATCATGAATGGCTTGCAAGCAGGTCGCGAGTGAGCGAGCTTGGCGAGATTGAGTTTCAGCAGCAAAGCTCGGCAAACGACTTCCTTTCCACTCACAACAACATCGCCACGAGCAGATTCATCTTAGCAATGCTCCCGATGAAGCGGCGACGTCTTGCAAGACCCGTACTACACCACCTACGCCCATACTGACCGCAGTCCCCAATCTACACGCTGAAGCAGTAAACTTCACCAAGTTCACATCCGCACTCAGCTCCGGTCCGTACGAGCTGAGAGATTGCACATCTGGATTATTCTTGCACGAAATGGCTGCTCAAGTACAGACTTCGGGCTGCGCGCGTTGCGTTCGATATCACCTAGTGGACCACAAATATCTCACCTCTCGGGCTTCAGTCGGCCGATGGTCCTGGAGCGATGTCGTCCAGACGATGTACTGGACTATTGGAAGGAATGCCTGCCTCCGTCGTCTCCACCTGGCTAACGAAAAGATACGAACGGAAGCAAGCAGACGACATGAACAAAGTCAGCAGGATTCACGAAAGGTGGTGAGGAAGAACTGATGAGAAATTTACGGGTCATACAGGGAGCCCTTGCAAATGCCAACCCCTGGCGCGGTCTTAGGTCTGTGACTTGGCAGGGTTCTCGATCGCCAGCAATTATTCTCCGAAACGCGCGGTACTGAATCAACGAGTGTGGAACGACTATTGGCAAGAATGCTTCAAACAGATCAAGCGATCACCATCTTCGGAACCGTTGAAAATGCCTCCGGGACCCGAACCCGGCCCGAGGACTCCATCTTCCTTACATCTCTCCTGAGCGCATGCATAAGTTTAGAAGCAAGTGTGGGATCTAAAGTGCATCTGCACTGAAGCGAAATTTTCTGTCGACCCGGAAGGACATGAACGTCGCACTGCTTCTCTATTGAGCGCCACCTCGCAGACTGTCGTATCACGAACGGTGCAGCGAGACAAACATCTCCACTGCACGCCCCGCGCCTATAGTGCCCTACACAGACCGCACGGCAAGCACGGTAGCGAAGAGCGGAAGACCTCAACCACTTCCGGTAACGAATCTTTCTGGCACGCGCCGCGACAATTGATGTTCGCCGCCGATCTGTGGAGTTCGGTAAATGGGATGTGCGGTATAGATGGAAGTCCCCTCCTCGCCCTCGCATCGCAAATGCAGGCTGGTGGTGAGTCTCCTGGAGTAGGTTCACTTTTTCTCGGAATTTCATACCTTCCTTCACTCACTCGTGTTTTCACTTTTGCGGGAGGCATATTTGATCTACGAAGCATTTAATTGTTTCTCTACTGCAGCACTGCCTCTGCGGTCGACAGTATGCGGTTGGACTACTACTCTATCTTGAATTTGGTAGCTTGGGCCACTGCCTCGGCCATTCCAACCGCGAGGTCACACGAGAGTCGCGCAGCCAGACAACAAGCGACACAATTCGTACCTGCGCGATCGATTTCGATAGCCAGAAGAAGAGGCGCCGATCTTAGATCTCGACAGGCAAGCACCGTGTCGATAACGTTCGATGAGCTGGTGACCACGCTATGGGGCGAGTCTATTTTGCTTTGCGGCTCGATTGAAGCGCTCGGAAATTGGGACACGAGCAGGTGTCCCAGTCTTGATGCAAGCGGCTATGCACACGATAATCCATTATGGTCTGCGACGTTGAACTTGACAGCTGGGGCAGACTTTGAATATAAGTATGTCAAGGTCGGCACAGATGGAACGATCACGTGGGAAGAGGACCCGAACCACAGCCATACCGTACCCAGCAGCAGCAGCAGAATCAGCGACACTTGGCAGCAGGCCTCGACCGCAACCACGATCACGCAGACTGTACGTGCAGTGACCTCGACGGCAACATCAGCTCCGACATCAACCTGCACCAACGGGCCGAACTCGCGCGATTGCTGGAGCCAGGCTTTCTCCATCGAGACCGATTTTGATGAGGACTGGCCAGTGACTGGTAACACAGTCTCTTACGAACTTACGATTAGAAACGCCACGATCTCACCAGATGGCTACGAACGCCAAGGCTTCACAATCAACGGGCAATATCCAGGTCCTACCATCTACGCAAACTGGGGAGACACCATTCGGGTGACGGTAAACAATGAGATGGAAGATAATGGAACCACAATTCACTGGCATGGCATGCGTCTGTATCACAATAATGGACAAGACGGGGTCCCTGGAGTCACCGAGTGTCCGATTGCGCCAGCATCACGCAAAACCTATACCTTGACTGCAACGCAGTACGGGACGAGTTGGTACCATTCACACTTCTCTTCACAATACGGAGATGGCGTTTGGGGACCAATTGTCGTTCACGGACCTGCTTCTGCAGACTACGATGAGGATCTTGGTCCATTGCCAATTACTGATTGGTACTATCCTGGCGTCTTTGTCGTCTCCGCACGAGCGCAGCACCAGAACGCTCTGGCACCAACAGCAGACAACGGTCTGATCAACGGAACCATGGTCTCGACCTCAGGCGGCTCGTATGCCCGCACAACACTGAAGGCTGGCAAGAAACATCGAGTCCGCTTCATCAATACTGCAGTCGACAACCACTTCCAAGTCTCGCTCGACGACCACACCATGACCGTGATATCCGCCGACTTCGTCCCCATCAAGCCCTACAACGCATCTTGGATCTTCATCGGCATCGGCCAACGCTACGATGTCATCATCAACGCCAACAAATCCCCAGGCAGCTATTGGTTCCGCGCCGAAGTCCAAGAAACCGCAGGCTGCGGCTCCAACTTCCAAAACAGAAACATAAAATCCATCTTCTCCTACGAAGGCTTCGAAGACGAGGAGCCAACCACTTCCCCCACATCCTACACTCAACGCTGCACCGACGAGACCAATCTCGTCCCATACTGGAACTCCTACGTCCCATCAGGCAACATCGTACGCAGCGGCGACTTCACCCGCCTCGAAACAGCAATCAACCAATCCACCGCCGCCGACGGCTCCCTCACCCTCTACTGGCAAGTAAACGGCACCCCACTCCGCGTAAACTGGTCCGAACCGACACTCGGCACAATCAGCAAAAACCCATCCTACAACTCCTGGCCTGACCGCGCCGGTGTGATCTCTCTGTCTTCCGAATCGAAATGGACATATTGGGTCATAACCGAAGGAATCGGCTCACCCTTCACAGTCAACATCCCGCACCCGATTCATCTGCATGGACATGATTTTTATGTGTTGGGTTGGGGCAGTAGGGCGTGGAGGGAGTCTGATGCCGAGGGTTTGAATTTCGAGAATCCGCCGAGAAGGGATGTGGCGATGTTGCCGACGAATGGGTGGTTGGCGTTGGCCTTTCAGACGAATAATCCGGGGAGTTGGTTGATGCATTGTCACATTGTGAGTCGTTTTCGTAGCAGGGAAGGAAGAGAGAGATGTTGTAGGGATGAGATCGCTGACTTTTTTTTTGGCATAGGCTTGGCATGCGGATGAAGGGTTCGCTGTTCAGTTTGTTGAGTCGCAGAGTACGATGTTGGATGTTGATCCTTTGCCTTCGGATTATGAGTCGCAGTGTGATGCTTGGAAGGAATATTACCCGACTTCTGCGGCCTTCTTGCAGAGTGATTCTGGAATATAGAGGTGAATGGATGCCATGCGTAATGTGTAATGTACAGACTATCCAGCTGAGAGCGGAATCGACTCTAGGCCTCCGCTGACACAATATCAACCAAGTGCGGTTCTAGGGAACCTCAGACTACGCTTGGTCCTTCATGGTAGAAGAGGTATCCCAGAGTTCTTGGAGTTTCAGTCTCAGGAAGCGTGCTTTGAGTGTCAGCGAAGAATCTGCTGAACGCCTCTAGAGCTACGTGAGGCTGCCCAGCTGGCATCGCTGCGCATTTCGTAGCACAATGGCTGCATCACAGTCTCTTGGCGGTCTTTGGTCGACAAGATGAGATGGCACAAGGACAGGGCCTGCGGTTGCACTCCACGCATGTTTGTATATGAGCTGCTGCTACCTCATGCTCATCGTTCGCGCCATCTTCTCTCATCCTTCTCACAACACCTCTAGCTTATAAGTAGCAATCTCAAAAGCCCTCAACTCAATCTCGACACCCTCATCACTGACCTTGACCTCCTCGATAACATCCTCAAGCACATTGACCTTCCAAGCCTTGCCCACCTTGACACTTCCCAAACCAATCGTGCCCCGGCTAGTACCACCAAGACTGTCATAAACCCTCAATACCACGTGTCTGCCCTCTTTAGGCGGCAGATCGCCATTCGAGACGTCCTCATCATCTTCAGCACGCTTGATAGTATCGACGACCAAGCTTGGTGAGGAATCTGAGGTAAGCTTGAAAGCACTCAGTAAGCTCTTCAGACTGCCTGGGTTGGAGTGGCGGTGGATCTCGAGAGGATGATTGAACTCGAAACCTGCTCGGACTGTGCGCTCATCGAGAGGCCCGGCGTGAGGGAGGATGGCCCATTTGATGTGGTGGCGGCCCATGTCTGCGTGACCGTCTGGTGCCTTGGGTGCTCGCAGGAGAGAAAGTCTCATCAGACTGCCTGTCGTAGCGAAGCCATACTTGGAATCGTTTAGGATCGAGACACCGTAGCCGTGCTCGCTCAGATCAGCGAACTTGTGACAGCACACTTCGAACTTAGCCATGTCCCAGCTGGTGTTGTAATGAGTTGGTCGCTTGACCAGACCAAATTGTGTTTCGTACGTAGCTTCGGTGTTGCGGATGTTGGTGGGGAATTCGACCTTTAGGAACTTCATGGTCTCGTGCCACTCAACCTCTGCTTCGACTTCGACCCGGCTAGTCTCGAAATCGTCAGAGCTAGCGTGAAGGCTGATCTTAGTCTTGATCCAGCTCTTCTCCGAGATCTGAGTCTGGGTCGTCACCGCAACTGCAAACGGGGAGCATCTTGTAATCTCCGTCTTGCTCGATGCCTTGAGTTCCTTACGCGACTCAAGATGGTACACTTCCACATCCCAAGCCTGCCAGTAGAGCGGCTTGTCGTCGAATATGACGAGCTGGTTGGCGCTCTTGCCTTCGGGAACGACTTCTCGCTTGGCCACCTTGTCATAGAGCGAGGTGATGACACCATCCGCAACCCTGACAGAAAGCTTTGAGTTCTCAAGCAAGAATGTTCCGTCTTCCAGTTCCTGAACGGTCGCCAGTTTGAGATTCTTGAAAGGAGACAAGACCTCGCCAGCAGGTTGACCGATAACCGGGATACTTATACCATGCACCTCCCTGTCCTTGTAGCCTGCGGCTTGTAGACGATACAAGGGCTCTCGTTTCCAGCCCAAAGTGTTGAGAACCACCTGTTGCTCATTGCTGTTGTCATCGAAACCGAGTGCATCCATCGCGCATTTCAGAGCCTTCCTGCCGATCTCGAACACCTTGGCGTATTCTTTATCGGAGTCATCATAACACATCTCAATTGAAGAGCCCGGCAGGCAGTCGTGGAACTGGCAAAGGAGCACGCTCTCCCACATCTCGTCGATCTCCGCTTTGGGATACTTGTAGTCCTTGTTGTGTAGCGTCGCAAGAGTGGCTAGGTACTCGATGTCGTGAAGGAGGATCTCGGACTTCCGGTTGTTTCGCTTGTTGTTCGCTTGAGTCGTATATGTGCCACGGTGCAGTTCGAAATAGAGCTCGCCGTACCAGGTTGTGAACTCGGTGTTCTTCGTCGCAGCATTATGCTCCAGTCTGTTGAAGAAGTCTTCCACACTCCAGCCCATGTGTACTCGCGGGAGTGCGTTGCCGATCCTGTCGCTGATACCACGGCATCGACGCAGTTTCTCAATGTGCTCCCATGTTGGTCCACCACCGCCATCACCCTTTCCAAAGACCAGCAGCGAGGTCGGGTCTTGATCCATGCTCTTGTGCTGCGTGACAGACCTCTTCACGTCGCCGAAGTGTGCTTCAGCAGTGTACGTCTCGGATGGCGCCATGTGGCAGATCACTTGGCTACCGTCTAAGCTGACCCAATTGAAGGTGGTGTGAGGGAAGTTATTGATGTTGTTCCAGCTCAGCTTCTGCGTGAAGAAGCGATTCATGCCTGCTAAACGACATATTTGCGGGATCTGTGAGGAGTAGCCGAAGGTGTCTGGCAGCCAGAAAGTCTTGCATCGTTCGCCAAACCGAGATTCAAAGAATCGTTGTCCGTACAGGAATTGTCGTACCAGCGACTCTCCAGAAGGCAGGTTTGTGTCGTGCTCAACCCAGCTACCACCGATAGGCTGGAAGTTGCCCTTCTTGACGTGCGCCTTGACGCGGTCAAAAGCGTATGGATAAAGCTTCTCCAACCACTTGTACTGCTGAGCCTGCGATGCGCAGAAACGGTGCTCGGCGTATCTGTCCAGCAAATCACACTGACTGCTCCAACTCCTCGCCACCTTTCGCTTTGTCTCGTCCCAAGGCCACAGCCAGCACGTATCGATGTGACAATGTCCAATACCGCTGACCAGCACCTCTCTTAGCGGATCACCTTTGGTCAAATCGTAAACCTCTGGACCATCCACCTTCTCACCAACATATTTCTTGGCAACTTTCCTACACTCTTTGATCGCCTCACCGCTTCCATTCCCCTTGATGAAAGTGTCCATGATCTCATTACAGATCTGCAGCGCATAATGTTCCTCCCAGCTATCCTTATCAAATTCCCTCGCAGCGTCTCCAATAATCCAAAAATCATAGTAGAGAGCCCTCGCATCCTCATTCACCGCCACAAGATCCGCAGTCTTGAGCTTAAAATACCGATTCGGGTCTGGAGGCTGAATGCTATCACCTCCGGGCGCATTTCCAAACATGCCATTACAAGCCACCTCAATATAAATGGTCTCCTCCTCGTAGCTTCGGTATGATGGAGGCACGATCCATTCAATCCTCTCCCCATTTCCAGTCAAACCCTGCAATGGCTTCCCATCGTCCGTCCACACCATACCCTCCGAACTCGAATCCCAATGCAATTCCACAAGATGCTCATCCTCCCAGTCAATGGGCACAGTAAACTGTACTTTGAACCAATGCGTACTCCAGCTTGGACCAAAGCATGCTCCTATCTCGGTCTTTTTATACTCGTTCTTGCTATCCGTAGCTTCCTTGAACGTGGGGCGCGTCAGACCCGGAGCATCCCACACCGACAGTTTGACATGGTTGCCGCCGGAGACTCTGCCATTGTAGAGCTTCGCGAGTAGACCTTGTTGTCGGTATTGGCCTCCGTCGGTGAACTGGCGTAGGCGGGAGGTGTAGATGTCGTGAATCAGCTTGCCCTTCGGCCGGTCCGCGAGCTGCGGGTATTTGGGCGTGGTGGAAGCCATGAGGTGGTGAGTCTCGCCGCCCATTCCGAACACGACTTATATCAAGATGCAGAAATACAGGAAGGTGTTGTTTGCACAGGTAGGTCAGGAGCTCTGCTGGGTGGTGGTCAGCTGCAGCTGCTGTGAAACGTGGTCGAGCTCTGGTCCTCTGGATCGTTCCTGCAGCCGTGGGAGCCCCGGGCAGGGATTCCCCAGCGTCCACAGAAGCTTGGACTGGGGTACATGGCCAAGAATAGCAATGATGAGGTGGAATTCATCAAATGCTGCTTCATGAAAACAAGCATCGCTCGAGTCAAGCGATATCAGAGAGAAAGTGACGATGAATGGTATCAACCAACGACTCCTCTCAACATCCAAGACTTGAGATATATGCCACAGGATCTAGAGCACAACCGACCTCAGCACGAAACACAACGCCATCATGTCCTCGCGAGCCCAGATCATGCCTACTTCTGCGCATCATCCCCATACTGAGTGAGCGTTGGTCGAGCATGTCCGATCAGAGCATGAAACATTCTGGAAGCACATGACTTGCTTCTGCGTGACATCGTAGCCACAGTAATCCAGCCCTGCCGAGGAAGCAGAGTCTAGCGTCGCGCATGTGATAGAATAAGATGTGTTCCTTAGCGACTGCCCAAGGGTGCTTTTCCGCTCGCAGCAATCAAGTCATGGACTCACTCATGGTGGATGTCGAAGCTGGCAATGATATTGAGGTGTACGTATCGGCATTGATTTCGGATGGGAGCAATAACGTATTCAGGCGCAGGAAGGTTATTCTAAGATGACGAGGCATCCTTGCGGGCTTCTGAGATCGATCTGCACATCACTCCTCATCTTCTTCTTCTTCTTCTTGCTGCCGCTCTTCGATGATGTATCTCTCCCTCGCTGCGTCATCAAATGCTTTGAGAGTGATGGCCCGTCTCGCCAAGGAAGATGCAAAGGACAGCTCGACACGACTCGAAAGATGAAACGCAGCAGAGATTCGACGGCGTTTGTGAAAGGAGCAGTTGAGGACGCGTTGGTATGGAACACAGAGCAATCGGGGGCGGGCGGGCGGGCGGGCGTGCGTACGAGATGACAAGCAGATCTGAATCGATGTGCGGTCGCCATGTCACTGCCGGCAAGGTACCGTAGGGGCGCTGCGCTGTTTCGACATCGACCAAAAGACTTGGAAGATCCCTGGCAATATTCTAGTTCTGACGTTCCAGGTTGTTGACGCTCCCACCCACCTTCCACACTCATCACATGCGGAAGCATCTGAGATGATGGCTTGCCGTCCTGCTAATAATAATGCAAGTGCGCGTCTGCCACGCGCGCGCCCATCCCATCCCATCCCATTCCACACGCTCTCGCCAGCTTTCTTCCACTCACTTCACCTCCAGCACCACCGACACCGACACCGACCCCGACAAGCCGTCGCCAGCTTCTTCTGCTCTTCCCACTCCACACGCTCGCTTTCCTCTGCATGCTGCCGCCAAGCCGACACATCGCCGCCAATCGACGGTCGCGATGATGGATTCTGCACCAACTGCTTCCTCCCCAGCATACCGCATGGCATTGCGATACATCAAAGCCTTGTTCGTGCACGAGCAGTATCGCAGGTGCATCCAAGTCTGTCGAGATGCGCTGAAGCTCGCCGACCGTGGCAACCAAGTGCCGCTGCACCGCACTTATCTCGCTCTCTATCTCGCTCTCTCCTACGATGCCATCGCTCGCGCAATGCACCACAACTCAGTGGCAAAGCTTCCCGCCTTCGACTCGGCCGAACAACACTTCTATGAGGCTCTTGCCGGCCTCCCATCACCAGAAGAAGCTCGAGAACTGTGCACGCGACTTGCTTGTGCGCAGCGAGAGGATCCGTTTCTCGACGAGGCGGGGAAGCGCTACAGCATGCACTCGCAACGACCAGAATCTCACCCGTACGACCAGACTCCATCCAGGGCCAGCTCGATATGGCTGTCTCCTCCGCAATTCGATGGCGAACACATTCCTTCCTCGCCCGCGCAAACCGCGTCTGAGCTTGACGATGCTGGAAGCCATGCCAGCTTTGACCTGACCACTCCAAAACGTCTCCCACGTGAACACTCCCGAATGTCGCTCCTCGATTCTTCTCCACTGGACAACCGGGCTTCCATGCCTTCATTGAGCTCGCTCTCAGTGCAGAGGCAAAAATCCGTCCGCGGGCTGATGCGCCCAATCAGACTCGGATCACCCGCCAAACCGTTTCACATTCCGCCGAAACTTCCGTACTCCGAGTCTGATTCCCGCAGACGGTCGATGCTGCCGAGATTGTCCACAACAGAGCAGAACAGCTCTCGTCCGGCATCGTCATACCTGGCCTATGCTTCCATGCCGTCAGAAGATATCCGATCGCCAGTGTCACCCGTTTCCCCGATCTCCCGCGCTGGTTCAGACAGCCACTCAGAAAACACGCCGGTGTCCCCAATCTCGCCCCAGACACCACACCCGCCAGCGCCACCACCAGCATATCATGAAGCCGCTTATCACGAACCAATCTACCCACCCTCTATGATCCAGGAGGAGCCAGAGGAAAATCTTGATGAAACAGCACTCTTGCGCTTCATAGATCATCTTAACGCCATGCGACGTCAAATTGAGGCACACTTGACCATGCTCTACAACTCAAAGGACCAGCTCTATCAACTCCAAAAGGAAAAGAAAGCTGCGGCCGAAGCTCGTATGGGTGCAGCCATGCCAGGTAGCGCACGCGATAGTGGGAAATACTTCTTCAGCAGTCCAGCACCTTCACGGGACCGAAGTCCAGAAGCCCAACCAGTGCCTCAGTCGAGAAGCTACTGGTCATTTGTGCCAGAAGACGTTAGAGTAGACGAGAGGAGGAAGCGAATTGAGGAGGGTCGGCAGCGGAAGTGGACGAAGAAGCGCTTCGACCCTACACGGTACCAGGAACTGTGCGTCAAGGCATTGGCCGAGCTGTAGAAGTAACAGAGAAGTATACAGTAATGTATAATGAGTCATAGAGCGGAGGAGAAGTATCAGGATCCACTTCACCAGAGATACCCCCGGGCATACTTGGGATAGCAGTAGTGTGGGAACGCATCATAATCTTGTATATTGTATCAACAATCACACTGTAACCCTAAACACCCAATCAATTCGCAGTCACATTAGCCTCCTCATACTCCTTCTGATCAACCTCATCAAGCCACGACGTCTCTAAAATCAAGCACACATCAGCATCCCCTCGCTCAAATTTAAAATCACATAACATAACGACGGTTTACTCACTCCCCAAACTTATCGCCAAATGCGCCATCATCGTCGTCGAACTCCCCCCATGCCAATGCATTTCTCCAGCAGGAATATGCACGATATCCCCAACCTGTAATTTCCTTGGCGCTTGCCCTTTCGAGCAGATTAGTCCTGTGCCCATCGTGACCGAAAGAATTTGGCCATGCTCGTGCGTATGCCAATATGTGCGGGCTCCGGGGGTGAAGAAGACGTTGTTGCCCACTGGAAGTGAAGGGGATGAGGGTTAGATTTTTGGGTTGTCAGTGGTAGGAGGAAAGGGTGAGGTTTGATGGGGGTATACTTACTGCAGGAGTTGTCTTCTGCGGTAAAGACGGGGTCCATGTGTACTGTTCCACTAAAAGTTTCCGTGGGTTGTCTGGAAGCGGACTCAGGTTTGTGGGCGGCTTTTGTGAGGAGCATTTTTCGCGGTGTTGGGTGTCGACGATGATGTGAATGCTGTGGAGAAACTGCAGTAGGTAATGGTGGTGTTGTTGTCGAGCTCCACATGGGGAAGCTGGCAGTAGCTTCACCGATCTCGGGCAAGCAGGACGCGCATGGCCGAGAGTGCCAGTCCATCTCAAAGATCCAATTGCATATACATCACACCCTCAATCGGATTCTCATAGTAGGCTTCCACCTCCACGAATCCAAGCAATCTATAAAGCTTCCTCGCACTCATCATATCCGCGAGCGTGTCCAGCACAACATGTTCATATCCCAGTCGTTTTGCCTCAGAAATCGCCGTCTCGGCCAAAGCTTTTCCAATGCCCATTCCTCGACCTTTGGGATCGACGTAGAGTCGTTTCATCTCGCAGCATCCTGTTCCGGCGGAAGGTAGTGGTCTGAGTGCGACGCAGCCGACGACTTCGTCTTCTGAGTTGTGGGCTAGAAAGATTGCTCCTTCTGGTGGAGCGTATTTGCCGGGCATGTTGGCCATTTCTGATGCGAAGTCTTGGAATGTGAGATCTAGGCCTAGAGACTCGGCGTAGATCTTGAAGAGGGTTTTTGTGGTTTCCAGGCCTTCTTGGCTTCGGACGGGCGCGATGAAGCATGTTGCTTGCGTGACAGTTTTTGTGAATTCGATTGCCTCTCCCATTTTGGTGGTAGTTCAATGGTCACTCGATTGTGATTTGAAGTGGAAGGCAGGAATGAGAAAATGGTGTGACCTGGTATTTGTTGTCGCCGTGGTTACTGTGCTCCACTGACTAGCAGGGAGCGTGGCTCAAAGATGGAGATGGCGATGGGACAGCATCTGCAGGGCGTGGCTTTGCATCTTACAGCGATGGTCTTGCAACATCGCAAGTGAGGAGCGTCATACATGACTGGAAATCTTGAGAGGGGGGGTTTTCATGTTGGTGAATGGTAGAAGAAGTGGTTTGGGAGCAAGGAGGATGTCTTGAGGCTGGCGACCTTGATGGCATGCCAAGAACACCGCTACTTCCACGCGTCTGTGTCTCGGAAGATGTCGCGCAGCTTTCGCGTCTCTCCTCTTGTTGTTCTTCACACCTCATAGCCAAAGGGCAGTCACCGAGCGATGCATACCGCTCTCCGTATTGACGGACAGAACATGCTGACCCGACAAGATGAACCTCCTCCAATCCGAATCGAATTTTCCTGCCCAAGACAAGGCCAAGTCCGTGCAGGGAACAAGCAGTTCTATCGTGCGCCCGCTCCCCCAGTGATGCGACGAGCCTCTCGAAGTCCTCGCTGGCCGCTAACATTGCTACAAGAGAAGGAAACAAGCGTTCTGCAGTGATTCGAGATGGAACAGACGGCGTCGAACAACCCCGTGAATAAGACATATCAAGAGAACCAAGATTTGAAGGCTTTGAATCCATTCGGGATGGCGGATGCTCAGTTACCTCCTTGCCAGAATGACTAGAGCAATGCGAGGATCGGGTTTTCTTCAATAGAAATGGCTGGCCTGGCCTGGCCTGGCTTTGATTTTTCTTCCGACTGCAACGAGTTGGATCTCTCCCGCCCCGGGACCCGAAGCCCCACATCACACTGATCTGAGTCGTGCGTGGCATCCTGGAAGCTTGGCAGGGGTGCAGTACAGTACTGTGTACACTTCCGTCCGGAGCAAATTGTGTTCATCTCGACGATATCCGGGGTTGCGCCAGCCCACTTCACCCCTCGCCCCGGGCTCGGGGATTCGAGCCATACGCAAAATCGCTTTTTCTTAGCAGGCTATACGTAAAACTCGATACTGTGGTATATTATAGAGTATATAGATCGGCTAGTTAAACAGGGGTACGATTAGGGTTAAGAAGCAGTAGATTTCCGTTATATTAGTAACTAAATTACGACTATAGATAGTTAAAATAGACCTATAATCGGCTTCCGCGTATGCCTTACGTTAACTATATAATTAATTACTTTAGAAGTCGGTCTATAGGTCTATTAAAATTTAAATTATCTCTACTTCTTATTATAATTAAGCAAGTAGTTAACTACTAGAGCTACTATCTTAAGACTCTTCTAGCTTAATAGGATTGTCCCTATTACTACTAGCGACCTCGCCTAAATAATAGCTAGTTTTCTTTAAAGGCTTATAGAAATAGCGCTTTCGCTATACTAACTTATAGTAGTAGCAAGGATATAATAAGTAAGGCTAAATATTAGTATATATAGTATTTTTAGACCCCGTAGTAGTTCGAATTAGTTTAGTTTAGTTTACTAAGCCGAAATTCTAGTTTAGTTTTAGTTAGTTTACTAAGCAACTATAGGAGTAGTAGGTTCGAACTATCTCTTTTTACTCTTTTACCCTTTTTACGCCCTATACTAAGTTTTATATATAATCCATATAGTAGAATATAAGAAAGAGGAGGAATACGAGGAATATACGCTTTAGAATAAGTTAGACGCGCCTACTAAGGATTATATAAGTATAATAAGAAATAGCGATAGTAAGGTCCTATAGCTACTATATACTTAGTTAAACTAGCTAATATAATATTTAGACTCGTAGTTTAATACTATACCTACCTAGATATCTATATAGGACTAGAATATACTATTTATCGAGTTTTACGTATAGCCTACTAAGAAAATACGATTTTACGTATAGCTAGAAACCCCGCGAATAGTAGGGAGGAGTATCTAATAGAACCCTAGATACCTAGACTAGCCTCGCTAGTAATAGAGCTATATATATATATATATATATATAGGTATACGCTCTATAATATACTATATTAGTCTATATATATAGGGGCGGAAAATTTAGCTAGTATATATATATATATATATATATAAGGAGGAGTTATCGGATACGCTAATATCTTACCTATAGCTAGCTAGGCTACTCGATAATCTTCGAATATCCTAGTATTCGGATAGGGCCGATATATATATACTAGTATCTACTAGTATATTATTCTAGCGAAGCGGAAGGCACCTAGAACAACTCGAGGAGCTTACGATAAGAGTTATAGAAGGTATCTAGAGCGAGTATAAAATAACGATTCGAGTTCTACCTTAGGTTATATAGGGGGCTAGGCGAGGGTTTAATTGTTAAAAGGGCGCTCCCTAACAGAATTTAGCTCGGCCTCTAATTAGTAGAAATCAAAAAGAAACGTTACGTACCGAGCTATTATTAGTAGAAATTAAAAACACAAATTACGTACCGGCACGACGATAGTATATACAGCGGCGACACAATCAAAAAGCACGACGGCAGCAAAGAGTACGGCGACGCGATAGTTTTAGAGCTACGCGATAGTTCGCACTCTTCGCTAGACCTTATAAGCAAGTTCCACTGGCTCTGAGAATATCCTTGTACAGTGTACAGAGCCTGCAGGCTGCATTCACAGAAAGCTGTATTCCAACGTCCCTAGGCCTCGCGCGGCCTGCCATTTTGGCAAACCCATGCCTGCTTCCTCACTTCGGCAGTTCTAGCACGTGTTTATAAGCATGCAAGATCCCCATCCCATCCCTTGCTAACCAACTTCACCACTCAAACATTACACTGTACTGCCTCTTCGTCATGCAGCGCGGTCTGCGTGCATTTATGGCGCTGCTCGGAATGAGCAGCGCGCTCTCAAGTCAACAAAACTTCGACAGTGCAATCTGTAAAGACATCGCCGTCATTGGAGGTGGCGCCGCCGGCACCTATGCAGCCTTCCGACTCCGACAAGACTACAACAAAAGCATCGTGGTGATCGAGCGCGGCGGCCGGATAGGTGGCCACGTCGACACGTTTCATGATTCCACTACAAACGCATCGATTGAGTATGGCGTACAAACATATATCAAATATGGCCCAGCAGAATCGTTCTTCAAACTTCTTGGTCTGGAGATAGGACCGGCCAGGTCAGATCCACCCTCAGTTCAGAGCTTCATCAACTCAGCCAATGGAGAGCTGCTCAGCAACTACAAGGCACCTTCCGATGTCATTCCAGCTCTGGAGAGATACAGGGAACAAGCGAAGAAATACAATCAATATCTGACACCTGGTCTCTGGGACTTTCCTGCTCCGAAACACATCCCAGAAGACCTCCTGCTGCCATTCGAGGATTTTGCAAAGAAGTACGATTTCGAAGTCCTCATACCGACCATTCAGGTTGTTGCAAATCCTGGAGTGGGTGGTTTTCAAGGCACACTGGCTCTTCATGTGCTGTAAGTGAGGCGTCTAAAAGATTCTGCACGGCATGCTCACGAACGCTTTCCAGCGCATTTGCATTTGGCTATCCGGTGACCGACGCCTTGCTCACAAACGGACTCTTCAACGCCGCCAATGCATCTAACTCAGCGCTTTATGAAAAAGCTTATGATTTGCTGAAGGCCGACATCCTCCTCAAAACTGCTGTGCACAGGGCAGAGCGATCATCGGATGGTATCAGACTGGTTGTGAAGGCAGCAGATGGCAAGCAGACCGCGATTGAGGCCAAACAATTACTTATCGCAGTCCCACCAAGCCACTCAAATTTAGGCGTTTTCGAACTTGACAAGAAAGAACATGATGTCTTCAGTCAATTCACACCAACCTATTCCTTCGTTGGTATGCTGAGGACATCCGTTTTACCAAAGAATCATACGGTCAGCTTCATCGCGGAGCGAGCCGTTCCAGACCATTACTTCGACCTGCGGAAACAACCGTATACTCTGACGTTGAATCCCAAGGGCGAGCCAGAGGAGCAGCTGTGGCAATTTTTGCTTGCCTCAAATGAGACTGTGAACGGAGATCAGGCCAAGGCCAAAGTGCTCGAAGGTCTAGAGCTATTGGTTTCGAGAGGCACTTTCAAGAACGAATCTACTGCCAGCGTAGACCTTGTAGCAGAAACCGAGATTTTGGCATTCGCGGATCATAGCTCGGTCTTGCACCGACAACCCGCAGAGGCATACAAGAAGGGCTTCATTCAGGACTTCTACTCGTTACAAGGCTATCGATCGACTTGGTATACAGGATCATTGTGGACGGAGGACTTCTCTAGCACAGTTTGGGCGTTTACCGACACCGTGCTTGAAAAGATGGTCAAGGCAATGAGATAGGACCGTCATCTACCCTACGAGAATGTACTACTTATGCCACGTTGTATAGGCACTCTGAAATTCCATGCCACAGCGGCCACGATGCCCACAGCTCCGACTATCGGTCCTATTGCTTGCATTGACTGCTTTCTTCTCTCTTCGCATTAGTCGCAGCGAACCTCTGAAAGAAGTTTCGCCTAAATTAAAGAGTCAGTTACGGCATCTGAAAGATGAGTAGGATGTCTCGTCGAATAATTGAATGTACTTACGTATCGTTTCTACTAGGGAATGTCTTAGTCGGAATAGGAACATTTAGAAACTCGTATAACGGCTGCTATCCCTATATTACGTCGTAGTCGAACAGTTGTTCCGGCGGTATAAGAGCCTTAATTTTCGCAATATAATTATTAAAAACCTCCCTCGTAGTATACTTCTTAAAATCTATAATAGGGGTTATATTAGCAGGTAGATAGGGTAGTAGTAGGTATAGTAGTATTCGATAAGGATCTAGGAGGAGAGGGAGGAAGGTAGGAGAGTTAGTCTAACGCTAAGCGCTAAGCCCTACCTAAGGCATTAAGACCCTAGCTTTACTCGGCCTAATTATATACTAATTACGTATAGCCTCTTTAGCCCTAATATACGCTTCCCTTCTAAAGGCCGCGCCCTCGTAGCCTCTCTATATTCTAATCTCGACCTCTATTACTACTAACTTAGCAAGTCTAATAAGCTAATTAGCCCGCGCTAAATTAAACACTTAACTACCTAATTATATAACTATATTAAACCTTACCTTCTAATACTATATCTAACTCTAACTACGCTATCCTTGCGTATAATAAAGTAATATATATCTACGAGAATTAAGGGCTATCGACTAATTATAATACAAGCGCGTCTTCCCTACTATAATAGGTAGACGTACGAGGTATTATAGTACTGCCTCCGTTCTAAGTAATGTTATCCGAGTTCTTTGCGTCTACTCTAAAAGATCTAGAAATATCCGCTCCGAGGGATTATTCTTATTATTACGAGGGCTATTATTATTCGTAGTTTCGCTAGCTCTAATTAGTTAGGTTTAGTAGCCTTTAATTGTTAATTAATCTTATCTTTTAAAAACACAGTTCGTCTAGTTTCTATAAGTAAAGGCTATTATAAGTATAATAGTTAAGGTTCGCCTCGCTTAAAGGGTCGGAAAGATCGAGGAGTAACCTATTATTAGCAAAATCGACCCCGGCTAGCTTAGCTCTATATTTTTGCCCTTAGTTAGTCTATTAATCGCTTAACCTTTTAAGCCTCGAGCCCTTCGAACGGCTTAATCTTTTAACCTAGCTAGCGTAGTACGTTCCGGCCTTAGGCCGCGGTATAGGTAAGGTTGTTCTTATAGGTATAGTAACGATAGCAAGTAAGGTTAATAATAGTAGTAAGTAGGTAACGTTAACAATAGCGGCGCTAGCCGTCTTAGCTCTAACTTTACCTTGCTTCTAATTTTCCTCTTTAATTAGTAATACACTCCGTACTACCGTTATTAATATAGCCGCGCCGTCCCCTAGCTATCGCTAGCTCGTATTATTATTGTTATTATTATTATTATTATTATTATTATTATTATTATTATTATTATTATTATTATTATTATTATTATTATTATTATTATTATTATTATTATTATTATTATTATTATTATTATTATTATTATTATTATTATTATTATTATTATTATTATTATTATTATTATTATTATTATTATTATTATTATTATTATTATTATTATTATTATTATTATTATTATTATTATTATTATTATTATCCGCGCGCGCGCGCTATCCCCGCCGACCGCCTAGGCCTCGAGGCCTCGATAGAATAAAGGAATAAGAGGGGGTTTAGGCATTAAGGGAAGGGCTTATAGGGTACGCTAGTAAAGAGGCAGATTCTTTAAAAGAGTAGGCGAATAGTTAACGCGTTATAGCGCGCTTGTTAACACTCGGTACGCGTTTACCGTAGTAGTATAGTCTTATCTTTACTAACAATTACTCGCCTCTAATTAGTTACTAGCTAATAGCACCCTAGGGGTAGCATTAATCCTAGGTCTCTCTAGCGGCATTATAGGCCCTTAGCCTTCTTCCTATGCTTTATACTAGTCTAATACTCGTCTAATAACTTAGTTATATCCTTAAAGGAGCCTTTAGCTTCCTATAAGTCCTATTTAGGTAAATAGCCCTACTACCTTAGTAGGTACTCCTTCTTGCCTTGTCTAGTCCGATGCTTTAGTATACGCTCGACCGACTATAGCTCTTTACTATTAGCTAAGACTTCTTCTAACTTAGTAGGCGCCTTATCGCCCTCGCGCTAGTAATATAGCTTAAGGAGGGACATATAGAAGGTATTATAGATAGTATAATAAGGAGGAAGCTACAATTAGTAGGCCTATATGCCCTTAGCCTCTCGAATACGGAATAGGCTAATATATCTTAGTGCGAGCTTAGGCCTTGTTTTGCTATTAGGTAATAGGTGTTTGCGGATACGGAGGTTCTTCGTACTAAGTATAACTATATCGCCTTATTTAAAGGTTATTAGTATATAGCGCTTATCGTAGTAGGTCTTTTAGTACTCTTAAGCCTTTGTTAGCTTCTTAGCTATCTTAGTATAGATTTCTCGTATCTTCTAGGCACGTTCTATTACCGCTAGTGTCTCTAGTACTTAACGCGCTTCCCTTTCCTTGCGCTCGGCCTCGAGCGAGGTAAATAGACCTTATAGTAAGGCGGCGTTTTAGCTAGACCCCGTAGTAGTTCGGTTTCCGAACTACTAAACGTATATAGTTTGGTTTCTTAGCGGCGAACTAGCTCCCTAGTTCCGGTTTAGTTTTTTTGAACTATATAGATTCCTAGTTTAAACTAGAGACTGTATTAGTTTTACTATAAGGATACTCTTATTCGACTGCCGGCTACGATTGCCGGCTATAATAGTAACTACATTACATTTACTATGCTCTTTTACCGTTACTAGGGCGTAGTTGCCGTTACTAGAGCGTAGTTTTACTATAAGGACACTCTTATTCGACTGCCGGCTACGATTGCCGGCTATAATAGTTACTAGGTTATATTTACTACGCTCTATTGCCGTTGCTAGGGCGTAGTTACTGTTACTAGGGCGTAGTTACTATTGCTAGGGCGTAGTTGCCGTTACTAGGGCGTAGTTGCCGTTACTAGGGCGTAGTTACTATTACTAGGGCGTAGTTGCCGTAGTTGCGAAAGCTTACCTATATAACGTTATATAGGCGGCAACAATTAGGGCTTCGCGATATTCTTATACTTTTAACTTCTTCCTCTATATCTATACCGATAAGAACTACTATACGCTACGCCCCTGCCCCTTTTCCTTATAATAGTAAGGGAGAAGCGCGCTACGCGCTAAACAGAAGATAGAACTAAAGACTACGAGTTTGTTTTGCCTAAGCGTCTAACTAAAAAGCGTAAGACTAAAGAGAAGTACTCTACGAAGAAGAATTCCGTACGAGACCGCGAGAGAAAGGAGAAGATAGATAAAGATAAAAGAGCTAAGGATAAGAGAAGAAAGGCGCGGAATAAAGTATTCTATCGATAGCTAGCGCCTATAAAAAAAGTAAAGGTTAGAATAAGAAGATAACCTAAGAAAAGGCTAAGAGGAGGAAAGAATTGCGGCTAGTTTTCGAGCGTAAAGTTCTAGTAGCGTAAGTTAATCTAGCTAGCGGCCGTAGCTAGTAGCTATAGCCGGTAGCTATAGCCGGTATATTTTTCTTTAATACGTTAACTAATAGTATTTAGACCTATAGCCGCTATCTCTATCGATATAACCGATAGTAACGGAGATATTTAGATAGCCGAGAACAACAATACTAGAGTTTAGGATGCCGCGACGGAGCTTAATACTACGAATAAAGGAACTAAAAAAAGCGAGGAGATACCCTACGTCGATCTAGTAATAGGTATAGTCTTAGGGCCTAACGCTATAGACGATAAGCGCTAGGAGTATATTAGGACTAAAGAGGTTATACGTAATTAGTATATAACTAGGCTCGAGTAAAGCTAGGGTCTTAATGCCTTAGGCAGGGCTTAGCGCTTAGCAATAGGCTAACTTACCCGCCTTCCTCTCTCTCCTCCTAGCTCCTTATCGAATACTACTCGTACCTACTACTACCCTATCTACCTACTAATATACTCTTCTTATACAGTATTCGATCTAACCTTTAAGGGTAGTAGCTAGATAGTCCTTATTTCAAGCTTTTAGCGGTATAGCTACGAAAACTATCGATTTAACTATATTACGCCCGAAGAACGGGACCTATACGTACTATTCTACTAAAACAACCGCCGATACCTACTAATTCCGCTACATCCGCACTATAAGGGGCTATAATACATTATTAGTACTACCCCTTATTATAATAGCCGGCTTATTACGAAATAATAATAACAATAATCGCGGCGCTACTAGTAGCGCTAGCAATAACAATACTAGTAGTATAGTGCCTACCGAAGTGCCTACTAAAGTGCCCGCTAAAGGGCCTGCTAAAGAACCCGTAGTTCTAGGTAATAATCTAGAATTGCCTATTAACGACATTCTTAACAATATTGTTAATCGACGATATAGCTAACTAGCCTTTAGCCCCTAACTAGTAGGGAGACTTTAAGAAGCTACCTAAAACAGGCTTACTGCCCTACGTTAAGAATAGTAGCTAAAGGATAACCTCCTCGAGCTCCGTCGCCTTTAGGAAGCCCTAACAACTACTACTAAACTAATAGCAGGACCTTCCTTACTATCCGTTTAGAAGAAGGATGCTAAGCTTAAGGACTATACTGTGTTTAACAGCTCTAGTCGCAAGCAGTACAATAATTATATACGTAACTATAAGCTCAACTAGCGAAATGTACCTAGGGCTCTTCTAGACGACTATTTATTAGTTGTCTACGCTATATAATACATTAATAGCGACCTAAAACGCACCTAGGACGACTATTTTAATTCCCTTAATAATTAGACCGCTG